AAAAAAAAAAAAAAGAAAGTAGAATGTATATTTGTTTCATTATTTAATTCAATTAGATATGGGATGCAAATATTTTTTCAAAGATTGATACTCTCTACATTTTTTTAGAAAAAATGTAATGAGGGAAGCATTGTAAGTAGGAATCATGCCAGGATGGTTTGAATAACTTTGGTGGATATTATGAAACATTGAAGGTGTATTTTGGTTTACCATTATTTCTCCAATAGTGTATACCAGTGTATTTTCTTTGAGGGTTATAAAATACTATTGCTTCAATTCAGGTTAAGATCACGGAATTTTTTTTGTTGTTGTTGTTTAGGGTTAGCTCAAATATAGCATTTGGACACTGCAGAATGTAATATGAAAAGCAGAGGATGGATAAAAAATTGGAAAACCTGCATGCTGGTCCATGCCTTTGCTCCTGACACATCAGCCGTGTTTATGTGTTAGCTTCCCTCTTCTAGGGGAATTGAAGGATTGAAAGTGGTTGGTTTTTTCATTTCAGGGTCTCCGTCAGATTTCGCAGAGGACCATAAGCACTGCTTCACGCAGGCATTTTGAAAATAAAGTTCCAGAGAAGCAAAAGCTGTTTCAGGTATTGAAATATTTTATAGGAGATTGTTACTTATAATTAGATTACCACAAAGTGGAAATGAGATAAACAAGGATGTGTATAAATTAGAAGATACGACAATGTAGGCATTAAAAATTAGTCAAGGGTATGTACCATACGGTTAATATTGGTTATCTCTTGGGGAAAGACTTAATGAGAGCAATTTGCCTTTTTAAGTAATTAGATTATGAGTGATTTTTTAAAAGTAACGATTTCTAGTTTTTCCCAAATAAAATTTGAAGTGATAAAAAAGTTGTATCACATATACTACATAAAAATACTTTAACAAATACATTATTAAATATCTGTGTGTGCCAGATGCTGGACTAGTTGGTAGGGATAAAATTTAGGGTTATTAAACAAAATTCCTTTCTCACTTTTTTAAGGGAAAGCGTCCCTATGACTAAATCTGAAGTATGACAATAATTGACTATTGTATTTAAGTTATATTTAAGTTTTTTGAGCTCAGTGTGTGTATTTATAGTATTAACATTATATTCCTTAGAAAGACCACTCTATTGGATCTCAACTTAGCTTCAAAAGAAAAATGCTGACTTTTAGGCATTTTTACTTTAAAGATAGGAGTAGAGAAAGAAGAAAATTGTAGGTTAATTTTGATATTTAGAATATTTTCATTTCAGAGGTTTAAAATGTTATTTCATTTTATATGAACAATTAGTCTTTTGAAACTTAGTTGGAAACAAGTGATATATCTATTAATGTCTTGTATTTTTTTTTTTTAACCTAGGAGGATAATGGGATTCCAGTTCACCTAAAGGGTGGTCTGGCTGATGCCCTCCTGTATAGAGCCACCATGGTTCTTACAGTTGGTGGTAAGGCATTTGGAATGTTTGAAGGTTTATAAAAGTGATAGAAAGGATAACTAACCACGTCTTTCCTTTTGCTATTGTATTGTATTTTAACAGATAATTACAAGTAACAGACTGTATTTTAATAATCTGTCTCCAGAATCTGACATCTCATATAAATATTCAAGAGGGTAATTGATACATAACTAATTATATAAGAGCATTTTGATGTCTTCCTAAAAAACACCAATAAGCTTTGATGACTGTGATGAGTTGGTTTTCTGCATGTACCTCTGGTTCCCCTGGAGACTGTTTTAGCTGAAAACACCTGTTCTATAGCAGGGGCTTTTAAACATTTTGGCTGTGATGCATAATAAAGGCACACTTTATATCAAAATTTTGTACATAACTGAAACCAAACTTGTACAGAATAATACTTTTACTATATGCAAAGTGCTCTGATGTTTTTTCTGTGGAACAGGAAGGTCCATTAGTGTGGGCAGAGGCACATCACAAATTGATGTAGTAGCAGCATGGTTGGGGATTCCAATGATTGCTGTCTGGGGAAGGAGAAGCAATTTGAACAATTATTGTGTGCCCATCATATTGATAGGAGTGCCATATACTATCACTTGTGTAACTTTCATGAAGTCTCTTCTGTATCCTCATTTTAAAGATGAAGATACTGTATTAATTACCCCAAATAATTACAGGATTCCCCCTGTTCATGCCAAAGTGCCTTCCTTGGCTTGAATTGAATATAGTTAAAGTAGAAGGGACATTTATTGATCAAGACAACCAGATAGTGACATTTTGGCTTTTTAACAAGATAATCCTAAACTCCTTTTAACCATTGTGACTATTAGACATTCTGGTACATGGTTTTAAAGATAAAATTCTGGTTATAGCACTTCTGGTCATTAGCACTTTTTACAGCAAATTTGATTATTTTGAAATTACATCACTCTTCCTTGATTTTACCTTGTTACTACACTTTGGGGAAGGCTTGCATATTTTGACCTCTAAATTTATTTTTGAAAATTTACATATTGTTAAGTTAACAAATACTTTATTCTGCCATATCCCTTTCTATGAAAATGAACTAATACTAAAACTAGATTGAATATAAAATTTTTCCAACACCTATCAAAATACCTTTTTGTGTTTCCACTAAAGTATTCTTGATGCAAACTTTGCCTTTATCTTACAACTGTTGAGCTGAAATGTTAGGTTTATATAATTAAGTCTTAGAATTTCTGGTAAGTTCATTTTTTGTTTTTACTTTTCAGGAACAGCATATGCCATATATCAGCTGGCTATGGCTTCATTTCCCAAGAAGCAGGATTGACTTCAGTCATCCCAGTGATCACTTGGTTCACTTTCATTTAGCTCTGTATGGACCAGTAAACTGATGAGTAACTGAGCTCTTCTTTGGGGATCAATATTTATTGACTTGTACTAACTGCCACCAATAAAGCAGTCTTTAACCATGCTTTGTCTGATATCACTTAGGATACATTACACCAATAATTTCAACATTTGGTAAGCCTTACAAGTTTTAGGAGCAAAAAAAAAAAAAAAAACAACTTTTGTCATTAAGTATAAAGCACTGTTATTATGTTATTATTTTAATGAAATTTTACTTTTAGAATCTGAAAATTATATAATGAATGGTCTTCAACTTCAGTGGAGTTTGGCATTTGAAAGCACATTTCCTTCCCACTACCACCCAGCCCTCAGACTCTATCCTGGGGTATGCTAGAACCTGGTGGAAGCAGGTTAATTTTGGCTCCTGGGGTCTAATTTTTTTTCTCAGTTATATGAGAGTATGTTTAAATATTGGATGTATTCCATAGCTTAGAATTAGGCTTTCGTAGAATGTCTGTAAAATCAGTATTTTTTTTTCCACCCAGGAACAAATGAGGGCAGGATTTCCTGGGTCCCCAGCTGTCACGGCTATTTTTTGGTTGTAGTTGTTTAGGCCTGGACTGGATTGAACCCTCCAGCTCTGGTGTATGTGGCTGGCACCCTAGCCGCTGAGCTACAGGCGCCAAGCACATTATTGGTTTTTCCTAACAGAAATGTTTCAGAAAGACTTACTTAGGAAACACAAAATGCAAATAGAGAATAAAAGGATCATGAAAAGAATTATGCTGCTATAGGCAGTTTGGTTCAGGGTTTGCAGAATCCTTCCTGAGCCAGCTATGCACAGGGCTGGCGTTTTCAGAGATAACTAATTTGGGGCTCCCTGGGTGCTGGTATGCACCCTTGTGAAGAGCAGTCTTGTGAACCATTACTTAGGACTTTTCTTTGTATATACATATATTGAGATTGGCGATTCACATCAACAGATACTGGGTGCCTGCTGTGTATCACCCACTGTCCTAGGTGCCTGGGAATCATTGGTGAACAAAATAAGATTTCCTGCCCTCACAAAGTTTACATTATGAGCAGTAGCAGGGGAGATAGTTAATTAAAAAAAATAATTGTACAGGTTGTTAGAAGATAAGTTCTATGGAAAAAAAGACAAAAGGTGAGAGTTTCCATTAAGAGTAGGTGATTGGTTGTAGTTTTATTTTATTTTTTTTTGAGATAGACCCTCAAGCTATCACCCCTGGTAGAGTGCTGTGCCATAACAGCTCACAGCAACCTCAAACTCCTGGGCTTAAGTGATTCTCCTGCCTCCACCTTCCAAGTAGCTGGGACTAGCCCGTAACAACACCCAGCTATTTTTTTTTGGTTGCAGCTGTTTAGCAGCCGGGTTGGATTCCTAACCCATGAGCTCAGGTGTATATGGCTGGTGCCTTAGCCTCTTGAGCTACAGGTACTGAGCCTGGTTGTAATTTTTAAATAAAGTGGTCAGGGTAGGCTTCAGTGGGAAAGTCAGTTCTAAATAGGGGATATAGTGGAGCTGGTCACCCAGGTACAAATGTGCCTTGGTGTCTATGGGGCACTGGTTCCCAGGACTTTGTGGATTCTGAAATTTACAGATACTCAATTCCTTTATGTAACATCATGTCCTATTTGTTACATGTAACCTATGGACATCCTCCCATATACTTTATTTATTTTTTTGAGCCAGAGTCTCACTCTGTCCCCCTGGGTAGATTGCCATGGCATCATAGCTTACAGCAACCTCAAATTTTTGGGCCCGAGGCCCTGTCTTGACCCTCTTATTTCAGCTTCCCAAATAGCTGGGACTACAGGTGCCGGCCATGATGCCCGGCTAATTTATCTATTTTTAGTAGAGATGGGGTTTCACTGTTTAACTCAGGCTGGTCTTAAACTTCTGAGCTGGTCTTAAACTTCTGAGCTCAGCCTACCTCAGCCTCTTAGAGTGCTAGGATTACAGGCGTGAACCATCATGCCCGGCCCTCCCATATAGTTTAAATCATTTCTAGATTACTTAGACCTAATAAAGCATAAATGCTATATGAATTGTATTGTTTAGGGAATAATGACAAGAAAAAGTTTGTACATGTTCAGCACAAGTGCAACCATTTTTTCCCCCTGAATATTTACAATTTATGGTTGGTTGAATGTGCAGATGGGGAACATACAGATATAGAGGGCTGAGAGTATATGGGCAAAAGGCACACTAGGAAAAGGAACAGCCTAAAACAAATGCCCTAAGGTGCCCAGCTTATCCAAAGAACAGGAAGGTAAGGGCAGATAGAGCTGAGTGTTTAAATGAAAGGAAGTTGGAGAGTTAAGACGGGGTCACACCAAAGGACCTTGAAGGCTATTGCATGGACTTTAGCTTTTACTCTGTGTGATATGGGGAGTCATCACAGGATTTCTCTCTCTTTTTTTTATTTCTTATAGCATAATGATGTACATTAATGCAATCATGGGGTACAATGTGCTGTTTTCATATAATTTTGAAATACTCTCATCAAACTGGTTAACATAACCTTCATGTCATTTTCTTAGTTATTGTGTTAAAACGTTCATACTCTGCTTTAGATTCACTTGTACCCTTGTAAGATAAACCATAGAGGTGACCCCACCAATCACCCTCCCTCCCCCCATCCACCCTGTCACCTCCCCCTCCCACCCCCTCCCCATATTCTAAGGCTATAATTAGGTTATGACATTCCTATAAAAGCTATGAATTAGTTTCAAAGTAGGGCTGTGTACATTGGATACTTTTTCTTCCATTCTTGAGATACTTTGCTAAGAAGAACATTTTCCAATTCCAT